CACAACAGGCGGCGCAGGTTAGGTTAGATTGATTAGGTTACGTTAGGAGTAGCTGTTGCGGTAGGACCTGTTGCACCCCAGCCAGTGACTGCACAGCGCTACAGCGGCCAGCCGCCGGCGCTGTTGTGGTGGGCTGCTGGGCAGTGGGCACTTTGTATCAAAAGCCGTGAAGATGACGGCTGCGTTACACGCCTCTTCTGTATGATAATGCTGGTAGGGTAGCCTCTCTAAGATAGTTATGGTAGTTAGTTAGTTAGCCTACTTAGCTTAGCAACTAATCTTATTCTTAGTCTACTAGCCTAATAGGACTTGAAGAGTTGAAGGCAACAAAACATGTTCTCCTTTGCCATGACACTAGGTTTATACACAAGGAATATTTAAATAAATACTGGAATGATAGGCACAAATATAATAGAACATTTCATGAAGGTATCTAGCCAGCTAGCCTTTAGGTAGCCTATCTTGAAAGATCCGGCTTGAGCAATCGGTTCGCCGTTCGGGAATATGGACTTCGGGTCCAGCCTCACCGTCCAGGATCACTGTTGCTGATGCCACCATCTCTTTATGTTAATACTTAGCCAGTTGACGCTATTTCCTCTCGCGGCTTGGTTCTCGCCATTGTCTTTCGGCGGGGATTCATCTCCATGCTAGTTGCGAGGCTTGCGTTCATTTTCTGCTTGGTCGCGTTGGGATGCCTAATGTTGGCGGAATACGGACAATGATCTGTTGTTATGGACACTGTCGGGCCTCCGCTCGCACGGGATTGACGTTACTGAACACTCCGTGTGTACCTGCACGTCGCTTCTCGAGTCGGGACTCGATAATTATAGTATTCAATTAAAAAGGAAACACGTTTCTCCGAATGCCGGTTCCTCTACCGACCACGCGCACAACATTTATTTTAAATACAAAGCACATATTAATCTCGAGTTCTTTAAGTCTATCACGCAACTCTTCATACCAATTTTAAGTCGTTATTTCTGTGGTACTCGCAGTACAGACATTATGAGCGACTCGTGAAGAAAATCGTTTAATATAAGTTAAGAAGCTGCAAAAACTATTCTCGGTGAATCGCCAGCTATATAGATTGTTTAAACAGCTGAACAGCAGTTCGTATTTTTACGTTGCCTTTAGATTACTTCGATTAGAAACGCTTACATCCTGAGACATGAGGCAGAATGTTACACTTCGATAGTTGCAGTTCGATCAAGTTGACGAAATCGCCTCGTACTTCGAAGAGTCTAGACTGAGTTAAACGGGATTGGACGTTCGCTGCTGTTCACTGCACTCGCCCTCTGCTGAAGCGGCATTCACACTAAGCCAATTAGTGGCCACACTCTGATGAAGCGACACTCGAACAAGGCCACAAATTAAATAAGGAGTTAGAAGGAGAATAATAAATTAGAAGAAGTGGTTGGCACCCTGTCTCGTTATTCATCCCACCAACCAAATCACGTTGCAACAATGTTTAATTAACAATGAGCCAACGTCAAATGTCTGATGGGATGCTTTTTTACCAGGTGCTTTCCCCTCAGACCGGAAGGTCATCAGGCCTATAGTGCAAACCAGGGCCGTCAAGAGGGACAACAAGGGAGAGAAGAAAAGAGGACGGGTGGGTACTAGGAACTTAGGTATCTAAATTTAGCATAAACTGAATAACTAATATCCACAACAAACCTTGACTCCAAACACCCCCGCAAAATCAAAATCACCTCAGACGTACTTCACTTTCTAAACGAAGGCAGATACTACCTGCGTGGGTCCACTAGGATGACGTGCGACGATTGACGGCCGAAATGATGGCAGATGTGCGTAAGTTGCGGTCCACTTAGCCCCGGGACCCAGGCTGAGAATACGACCAGGATCCCCGCCCTTAGGGTTGACGGAAGACTGAGGTGCACCAACCGCCAGAGCAGGATAAATATGCACAAACACGAAATGCGGATTAAAATGAACACTATTGAAATGGAGAAAACTCTACACACGTTACAAACCCACGAAAATCATGCAAACAAGCCCGAGATAAGCATGCAGAGGCTCATATAAAAACGCAATAAGAGAACAATAACATTTCAGTATTAATAAAGTCTATAAATGACAGGGTAATCACGTTAAAAAAAGGCAACGCTGCTGTTATTTGGGATTATGACGAAGGGAAGAAGAGGATGCCCAAAACGAAGCATACAAAAGCAGAGTCTCATTTCCCCAACGAAAGTCATCACCGAATAACGCACATAAAACGGAACAAGCAAGCGATAAGCACGCATAAAAACAGACGTACTTCACTTACTAATCGGAAGCAAGTACTGCTTGCGTGGGTCCACTAACACTGAGATCCTGAGCAACGATTGATGACGGCCCACGTGAGGGCAGATGTGCGGTAGTTGCGGTCCACTGCCCTTCGGGACCCAAGCTGCGAGGACGACCATGCTCCCCGCCCTCATGGTCGACGCTCAGATACGACGGAAGCGTGGTCTGGGTCTGCAGCGTCTTGAACAACAGCAAGGGTCGTACAGAATCAGTCTGCTAGTCATGAGCCAGCTCGATCCTGGGGAGAACAGCTCTTCATAATGCAACTTGATCACTTTAATCGACAGACGCACCTGCACTAACCCGGAATTGTTATGCGCCTTTAACCATTTAATTAACATCTTTTTTTGCAGGCATCTGGAAATAATTAGCGCTTCTAAAATTTATGTCGACAGGTGTTCTTGTGCGCAGCTGGAAGCAACTGCGCTTTGATCACTTTTACCGAGACCATTTCTTGCCCTCAGCAGTTCTCTGGTATTCTTCGCCCCACGGTATCAACATCCAGCGAGACAACAAATAAGGTTTGCCCATCTTTGAACAAGTCTTGGTGCGGCCAAATGGTGGCTTCAAACTTCAGACTTCTTACAAATTCCTCATTGGGACGTCATTGATAAGTTGTCTCCATTGTCGGTTTCTGAAAATTAAGAAAAGTTTTCCTGTAAAAAAAAAGAAATTTGTTCACGGCTATCGTATTTTAGATATTTCGGTATTTCAGATGTGGTTCAATATTTTATCTTAACCTAAGTAAGGTGCCCCCAACTCCATGTTTAACGGCGGCATGTTACTCGGACAGCATTGGGGGCAAGAAATATTCGACGCCTCCCCGTACAATGGACTGCACAAATGCAGCCACGGTAATTAAAGAGAAATTCTTCAACGACGCAGTTCCCGAATAGCTCATTGGCACGTAGAACTGTTGGTCGGCTAGCTACTTTGTTCGTAGCAAAGCGAGTCGTCCGATCTCTTCCAAGCCCCCACCGCGAGCAACAGCCAACCGAAGAGAACAGAAATTGGGGAGCGAGGGACTCGCAGCGTCGGTTTACGTGGCGTACTGAAGTATCATGAATTCCAGGAAATATCGTGGTGAGGTTCCAGGAAACGTTTTATTCATGATATTTTGTATCTAGATAAATGAGATTCTTTCAATTTCATATGGAATATTTTCAACTGTCAAGTATTGCACAGTGGATACACAAAAAAAATTCAATTCCATTCGACATAAGAAACGAATATGTACCATATGCTCCTGATTAGTTGCATCAAGCGTATACTACCTGAATTAATTTGACAAAGATGTTCACGCTGCTAAATGAACTCGTTATCAATGAAGATCACGAGCATGACGAGAGATGTTTAATTTGGGAATTAAAGCAGGTTAGCTCAATATTCTATTCTATCAGATTTGCTGGCGCAAATCATTACTTGCCTTCGGCAGAATGCGAACTTCCGGAACCTCGTTAACAAGTTTTAACATTCGAGAATACAAATTTGTTCACAAATGAATTGGTGCAGCCGTTTTGGTAATTATTCAATTTCTAATTGTTGCATGGTGACTTTAAGCTGTCACCATCAGTTGGCTGCAATCACGGATTTTATATACACCCAAAATTAAATAGTCATCCTCAAATTTTGATCTAGGAGGTGCGTCTCGGCTGTCACCATTACTTGATTTAACCACGGATTTTATGTACACCCAATCATTGCCGCCATCTAATTTTGAGTACGCCTCTCGCCTGCCACCTTCTGTTGATTTAACCACGAATTTTATGTACACACGTCATTGCCGCCATCTAATTTTGAGGATTTGCCTCTTGGCTGCCACCATCTGTTGATTTTAACCAAGGATTTTATGTACACCCCGTCATTGGTTTCATCTAATTTTGAGGAATTGCCTCTCGTCTGCCACCATCTGTTGGGGACGCGCGGTGCAGCAGCAGGAGTGGGCGCAATTGCGGTGCAGAAAAGAGAGCGTGGGAGAGGGCGAGAGAGTTCGGCAAGTGTCGCGGGCACAGTCGGTCTCCAGTCACGTTGCCCTCAGGCCAGTCTTAGGAGTCGCTCGAGTCTTCTAGTCTCACTGTACTCGCAAAGGTCATTACAGATCAGCAGAACTGTTATTGCTTAGCGTCATTCCAATGTTTACATCTGAATAGTGTGTGTTTAGGTTCTTTGTCGAAAATAATAGACAAATAAATTGTTGGTAAAATAGTAGAAGTATGTTCTGAGAGCCCTAAATTCAATTCTCATTTTTTTTGGCCCCACAGATTATAGGAATTAGTTTCTAAATTTCGCACTCATCTGGAACGTAAAACGAATTGTATTCTCTAACAATGGAGGCAGCAAAGATCGTGGCCCTTCTGAATCTGATGGTTCTCGGTCTGGTGATTGCTTCGGTTGTGCACGCGCAGCCGCTCAGCGATGAAGGTTTGTGACTAAAATTAAGATAATTTTAGCTATTTTAAAATCCTATAATAAAATTTGCACTTCAATCATAGTACCTCACTGATTTCATGGTAGTTTTAAGCTACATAAATAAGTTAGATAATACACCGAACATATTTTTATATGTTGATAATATAATATTTTTCTTTACATGTTAGAAATACTGACATCCCAACCATTGGAATAACAAGAGGAAAATTAAGAAATTAAAGCTCAATACAGACTGTCAACTGTTTATTATTTTCTGCACTAGTTTAAATTTTGGATTAATTTTTTACAACCTTCATTATATTGTTGTTTGAAGACTAGCAAATGATAGCAGCCTCTTCGCTCCGGCATCCATGTAAACTATTTTCAACTTGGCTACAGATGTTCCGCTGTTTCCATAGGTTCAGCCCTCAATATTGTTAAAATTTAACAATAATTCTAGAAATAGTATCAGTTTCATTGATTATCCCGAATTTAATCCATCGCTGCTAATGTTTGAAACATGATTTATATTTTTCAAAAATTATATAGGCGATGGAATCGTCCGTGTGTTTATTGAGCAGGGTCGCTAATCAACGTGACTTTTACTACCCAACGTCGTTGTAAATGTTTCGCTAATTACGACACCTTTCAACAGCTAAAATGTACGTTTTTTTCTTGCAGGTATAATTTATCGCATTATAGAAATTTTACTGCTCAATAATGAACGCAATCGATCATTTGACTCCAGATTGCTAAGTCGGATTTGAGGGAATATTACACTTGAATGAAATAGCTTTGAAATCAACTATTTGCATTGTGAGTGCTTATTTTTTATTTCAGTTAATTTCTTATTTCACTTAATAAATGTATAGGTAAATTATCGATTATCGTAAAATCATTCATTATACAGAAATTAATTTTGACAATGAGTCAGAAAAGTCAAGTTTTGGGTCCATTCTGAAAGATAAGCCGACTTACTTAGCCACCGGTTGCGTATCACAAGGTTACCAAAAAATAATCGTTTCATGCTCTTATTTTTAGCGCATTTTCTCATTTATGGAAAAAATGCACTATTGTGCTCGCAATGCCCGTCCGTCCGTCCGTCTGTCCGTCTGTCCGTCCGTGACTTCACGTTTTCGTCGCCGAGAAAATGCGCTCTCTGTCACTTACTGCAGTGAGTACTGAGTTTTATTCTTTCCATTTTCACTTCATTTCCTTCCTTTCTGTTAAGTTCCGAATCATCTCGCGCCACAAAAGAATTGCGGTATCTCACTCCCATTTAAAAACCTAACGGGTTATAACTTTCTAGCTTATCTGGGAGGCGAAGACCAGAAAACCAACGGGTAACATTTGCCAGGATATCTGATCTACTAACGATCCCTGAGGAAAATAATGCCTAAGATATATTTTCCCAGCGAGCGAGATTCCCGAGAAAAATTAACAATTTATGAATCACAGACCGACATGTTGCGAGCGGTTCAGTTGTCACCCATGCCGCTGTAATATTTTTATATATAGTTTATTCTTCTGCATGCAATCGATTCCTAATAACTTATTTAATTTATTGTTGAGGTTTTGGCAGAGATATATAATAGTTACCGTCATAGAAGAACTTAAATATGCTTTAACAAATTTGTTTCGGCGAGAATAAACAAAATCTGAATAAATTCATAACGGACGCAGGGGGCTCAATTTAGCATTATTTTTAATTAAAAACTACGTTTTCAAAAGTCACGGTGTTCTGAGAAAAAAAAATATTGGTCTGGGTCGTTTGTCATATCTATTTAATTATACGATCCTCTCTAAACTTTGTTATAAATTTGATTTTCTTCGCATGTGGCCTTTTAATTTACATTGTTTTTATTGTACGGAAATAACATTAGATTAAACTATAACATGCATAATCCATTTCAAATTATTACTGGATAGAGACTCTCCAGAGTTAATTGAAATGTCTTAACTACACACTCCATCTACTTGCACCTTTCGACCCATACTTCACTGAGTGAGTCGCACTTCAACTATGACAAAAGGATACGTTGCTTTGACCGCGTCTGTTTAGAGTCACACTTCAGTTATACAAGAAGGATACATTACTAATTTAATAAATAACGAATACTTTAGCATGAAATAATATTTTTTAAATTTGGGAACGGTGAATTTATATGCTTCCACAAGAAGCAAATTTTTATGCTTCCTCAGAACGAAGGAATTTCGTCTTCTAGAATGATCTTCGCAATAATCTTAAAATCTAAACCAAACTCTAAACTAACGTCAAATATCTACGTTGAACGGGATCACTTTTAGAATAATAAACTTCTGCCAAACAATATAATTGATGCTCTTCCGTTGTTTCCGAAGATTTACCTTAAATGCACGATCTCAATCCAAAGTGCGTTATGCACGGTCACGTCACGTCTGCTGGGCACAGAATGTCGCTGTCTGGGGACGAGCTAATCCCACTTCGATATTCCATCAAATTTGCATGAGACTTCAATCCAAGATCCTCTGCAAGCCATCGCCAGATTCTGCTAGTAGAGAAACTCGTAAAAACTGTGGAAGGTTTATTGTTTCGTAATGGAAACAACAGGTGGTTTTATAATGTAGATAGTCACGCAGCAATAGATGGTGGGATTATAATAAATGCTCTTGTTGCTTCAAAAAGACTTGTTATGACAGAAAATCTCTAGGTAACAGATAGTGTAGTGGCACCTATTATCTGGCTGCAACAGATGGTTGGATTGTGGCAGCAACAGAAGGTCAGGAGGAAACAGATCTCACTGAAACAGATTGTTTGGCTTCAGCAACAGGTCGGGTAAACAGAACTCGTTAAATCAAATGATCTGACTCTAACATAAGGACTTGTTAAAACTGATCTCAAAGGCCCTGATCTTGCTTAGTGAAGATGAAAATTTGTAGAAATCCGATTATTTCCAAAATCTGTTCTAGATTTAATCCGATTGAAGCCGGAGCTCAGACAACAAGTTCGACTCAGACTTTGGCTCGACAATACCCGAGAGAGACCTCTCGGATTCAGCTAAACCTGAAGCAACCACATTTCTATTGCATTATAAAAGAGCAGTTTCCTTAAAAGATCGATTAGTGTTTTTGAAATTGAGGAGGCAAATGGCTAAAAAAATAACAAAGAAGTTTATTCAAAATTAATTATACACAGAATTATACACAGAATTATACTTGACCCGACATCTTGATTGAATTTTACAATCTATTAGGGCGGACACAAAGTTACTGAGTTAGTTCCTCTGTCTGGCTAAACTCTTTTTTAAAATGCAAGCAAAACTAGAATCGAAATAATCTGGTCTATTTAGGGGCAAAATTTCTTTCCTTTGGCAAGACTTTCATTAAAATAATTGGCGAGATTTCGATTATTTTGGCAAGATTTGTTCCAAATATATTGGTGGAATTTCGATCCCTTAGGCGAAAGTTTGGTCCTCTTGCTAGATTTCTCTCTAAGTTATTGACAAGATTTCAATCCTTTTAAGCCGGATTATCTTAATTATTGTGGAGGCTTAAGAATTTAAACTCGAGATTTTATACGCAATCAGCGCAGGCGCTCAAGCTGAAGCGAATTTTAGCAAATTGTCCTTAAAGCGTTCTTGATAATGGTTTAACAGATAATTGTCATCATCGGTGTCTTATGCCATAGTATTACTCCGATAGTTCGATTTATGAAAAAAGGTAAAAAAATTCATTTATGGAAAAAAGTGCGCTGTTGTGCTCGTCATGTCCGTCCGTTTGTCCGTCCGTCCGTCCGTGACTTCACGTTTTCGTTGACCATAAAATGCGCTCTCTGTCACTCACTGCAGTGAGTACTGAGTTATATTTTTATATCTACTGCCTCTCAACATTGATAATAAAAAAAACATTTTTTCATTCGTTTACGGGTTCATAAAAAACATATTTATTGTTTTTAAGGAATTTTGATATTAAATTGATAATAAAGAAATGATGTCACTTGTTTGCTTAAATCGCAAGTTTACTAAAAATTAAAACGCAATTTAAACAAGTTTTTGTTCCCTTTTGAAATGGTATCTTTTGAAATAAATTATAGACATGAATTGAAAAAAACTATATTTAAAATTACAACTTTCCTTATAGTAAGATAATTCAAAAGATAAAATTGTAAAATTGTTATGTTATATCTCTGAAAGTTAGGTATTTGAAAATTTCTCAATACAGTAGGCTAACATGCATCTATTGAATTTGCCAAAAAATTTTATTTATGGTACGAAATGACTCTTGTTTCTAGACCTACCAACTTTTGTTATCTGTTGATCAATCTACGTCAGTTTCTCCAGTCTATTACTATTAACTAACATTCTGATTTAAGACAGCAATAAGAGAATGTAGTTTAAAAACTGCTCATATTATATATTAAAGACAATTTTTCTCTTGCAAGATACACAAAACAAAAATGTTTGTGTTTGTTAGACAAAAACAAGTCAGGTGTTGAACTTGCAGCAATTCCCATGGTGCCGAGTTAGTTAAATATTGGTTCAGTTGTCCGTGGAGTTTTTGGAAAGTGAGTCGCACAGTCAAACGGCCAGTTTTCTTCAAAAACTCTCACCTGATTCGGCTGCAAAATTAATGAGAAATGTCATGAGGGGATTACGGGTCACATTTAACGACTATTTATATGTTCTTGATGCATGCTTGCATATATATCGTTAAATGCTAAATGAGTTCTACTAGGATAAATTATTAACAATTCGACAATGTGCTGAAATTAATTTATCCGTTATTGGCTGACTTCAAGAATCACGCAAAATGATTTTCCCCGTGACAGTAATTTTCAACTGTGTTAATTCCATTTTCTTTCTTCCCTGTAGAATGCAAAAAAATTCAAATTATTTAATTACCATGAATATCGAGTTGACTACCAGAATTTTGAATCAATACAACCAGGCGTGACATCAGAAACTTGAAGAATTACGAAAGATTTCGGACGGAAGGAACCGACAAATAAAAGCGGCAGAGAGAAGCACCGTGAC